TGAGGATTAAGCGGTGTATAGAAAATGGATGGATGGATGGAAATATCTTAAAGATGCTAATGGGATATTATGTTGTTAGAAATGAAAAAATAAATAAATAAATAAATTGCATAAATTCCCAGATCAGCAATCTGGTTGGAGGTTCTTACAGAAGGACATTTGGATCTCTCTCTTAAAAATAGATAGATAGATAGACAGACAGACAGACAGACAGACAGACAGACAGATAGACAGACAGATAGACAGATAGACAGATAGATAGATAGATAGATAGATAGATAGATAGATAGATAGATAAAAATAAAAATCACTCCATATATATCTGAAAATACTGTGAACAGCACAAAACTAAAATCCATTTTAGGCAAGAACTGTTCTGTAAACAAGGCTATGAATGATACTTGAACAAACCCTTCGGTATAAACTTTCAAAATACAAGCAAGAATAAAATTGGAAAGTTTGGCGGATGTAAGAGCTGCTGAAGTGGACATTTATGGATCAGACTTGGAAAAACATTTTTTAGGTGAAAATGAACAAACAGCTATGACAGGAAACCTCCCTGATTTGGTATGTGCAGCGGCACTCTGTGCCGTTCTTCTTTGTACCACGCTCCGAAGCCTGTCTAGCAACTAATATTTGAAACGCCAGTGAGACGAGTTCTGCTTTGTAAATAGTTTAATAAAAAGAAAAAAGGATCAAAAATTACACATACTCACACGGTCAAAAAACTTCCCACATCTCTGGCTTCAATCTGAACAATAAGCCTCATCCACTGCGTCACAGCGACGCAACATTATTTAATTGGAAGCACAAATCAAACTGCTCTCAAACCTATCAGCAACAAGTCATGCATTTAGTAAACGCATTCGTCCAAACCACAATGAAACTATCAGTTTCCAATATCACCATTCCCACCTTCAACTAAATTATTATCAAATATAAAATAATAAATTTGGCTCTAGCAGTATTTTATGGGCTAATAAATATATCACAATATAAGCTGATGCTTCACTAAATTTCCACATGATGATGAGCAGAATACAACCACTGATGCATGATCACATTTTCACTTATAGTATTAAAAAAGGCCACATGGATTAAACTGTGATCTAAGCGCTCTTAACACTCCAGTGAATCAGAACACTTTTTTAATATGTATGTTTCTTGTAGAATTAAAGGTTCTAACAGATATTCTACAGGTGAACATCACCATCCACCATTTTGGATTCAAGATGCAGCATTCAAAGGTAACAAGAAGAAAGACACTGATCACACAGAAACACAGTCAAGCTTTGGGAAGCTGTTTCCTGCATTGGAGTAATTATTGTGAATAATTCAGTTTTAATTCAAGTTTTACCATAAACAACCACCTCATCATGTCTTTAAAGTTTTGTCACATCTGATCTGTGATTTTTAAGACACTCCACTCACTCAAAATGAAAGTTTTATTTTGAATTTCAAATGAAAAACATTTTGATGTAGCACCAACAGCAGAAACACTGTCACCTGATTTACCTGTAAACATTAACAGACACAATTCTGGTCATTGTTTTTAATTTAGATAAAATAATGAGGTTAAAAACAGACTCCAGCTTCATTTGATATCTGCTGGATAAAAACATTACATGTCAGCAGTAGTTCATTTCTGAACAACATTTTCTGAATGAAATGAATCAGTGAAATGAGGCTCACTGTTCTGCAAACTCATTTCGGTTCATTTAAGAGTAAAATAAGGGGTTAAAAGAATTGTTTTACAAAATCCTCACACAGGCCCAACATGAACATTTCCCCATTTATAATGAAAAAAATAAACATCTGCTGTAAGTTTGATATAAAAATGGATTTTACCACAACATTCACTTCTTTCCTGTGAGGTCCTCGATGAGATATTTTTCATGCTTCTGAAGGATTTTGTAGAAGATTTCCTTGCAGGTTTTTCCAGCTTTCAGAGGACCAGCATACAGCTCCCTCATCTGGTCCTGACAGGCAGCCATCGCTCGGATTTTGTCATAAGCTTCCTGTTTGATAACATCTGCTTCGAGGAGGTCGTCCAAAATGGAGTCAGTGTTGCTCACTCTCTGGATCAGCTCCACTTTGTGTTTATCCACAAAGTGCTTGTCTGAAGAAAAAGGAAGGAAATTACACAAGAAGCTCAAACCATCCTGACAATCGATCAAAATGCTACAAAACTCAAAATCCTTATAGACAAATCATGCCTTGGATTTTCCTTTAATCTGAGCTTATTTCCACTTCATTTCAAACTCATCTATTTCCCATTAATATGTCTGTTGTGTCTTTACTCTAACTTTGCATTTTCCACCTCATTTGTAGAGTTTGGAAAAACAAGAATTCCCACAAACCAGCAAACGTTGGACAAAAAGTGTGAGCTATCCGCAGCTTTCAAGAAAAAATGTAAATGTTTGTTCTCAGTCTGCCTCAAAGGAACCCCAGAAATTCGCTGCCTAGATGGACATTAAGCAAGTTGCGCTGAGGATTAATGTAACCTGATCACCAACATATTCCTCTGTCGGTTTGTGTCCATTCGTGAGTCTGTGGAAATGTTTCTGTGCAGTGTGTGTTGGTACTGCTGAGGTTCACCAGTTTGCAATGATTTCAAGTCATTCATGTAAAACCCTGATGAAACTTGCTTAAAAGGACTCAAAAACAGCTTAAAATGACTAAAACATGTTCAGAATCATTCAAATTATAAAAATGTCTCTGAATTATTCAAAAGGACTCAAAATTAGCTTGGAAACATTTAGTGATGGTAAAAGAGGATTTAAAAATTGTCCAAAAGAAATTGGCCAGAACGACAAAATATTGATCAAAATGAAATAAATTGTCCGAAAAGACCCAAAAATAAAAGCAATAAATGTCTCGAAATTGCCCATAGGGACTCTTTAAGAATTGTCCAAACATTGTCCAAACCCAAAAATGTACAAAATGACTGAAGATTTGTCCAAACTGATGCAAAAGTTTTCCAAAATGACCCCAAAAATGCAGTGAACAAAATGACCCAATAATTGGTCAAACTTTGTCAAAAATGACCCAATATGACCCAAAAGCTGCTGAAAATGAAAGAAAGAAGTCTAGCAGTCAGAGAAAGAAGCTTGATGTGAAATTCATATACTGCAGCAGAGACGACTCACCGTCAGTGGAAGCAGACTGTTGGCTTTGTCCACCGGCCTCCTCAACTGCACAAACAGGAGACACAGTGTCAGAATGAGACAAAGATTTAGCAGCAGTCAAGTTAAAGTATGACATCCAATCAGTGGGGCTGCAACTAAAAATCATTTATTGGTTCTTTTCTTGATTGCTTGTCAGTTAGTGTTACTCATCAGCTAACCAAAATCACCCCAACTTGGCCAAAACAGATAAAATGTTCATCAAAATGACTAAAATTGTTTAAAAGATCAAGAAGTTGTCCTGAACTGACACCAGAAATGATCCAAAATTACTCATACGATGTTCAAAATTGCTCAAAAAGGATTAGTGTCAAAACTTGGTCAAAAATTGTTAAAAAAAAATACAAATTCACAGGAATGAAAAAATATGCATTCATCAAAGCTGTTACAGAGGTGGTCTGGAAGCTTGTTGTAAAATATTTTATTAAATATTTTACTAAAGTGTCCAAAAGAATTCTGTCAACTAACAGATAAAAATGTTTTTAAAAATCTCATAAAAATATTGATAAAATCTCATTTAAATATTAATAAAATATCTGAAAACAGCCCTAAAATTGTTTGAAACTAAAAATGTCCTCAAAATATTAATAAAATGACTAAAAAAAGGTCCTAAAAATAGAAATAAAATGTCCTTGATCAGATCCACATTTCAGGTACGTTAAAGTTATAAAAATCAATCCAAAGTAGTTGTGTCACAGCTAAATAGCTTTTCTACACTTTAGGGAATGCAGACACAGATCAGGTGCAACAGTTACTGGTTACGTACAAAAAACAAACAAAATGAGCAGACTTTGATCAGAACACGACACAAAACCAAAAGTGAGTGACCAACACAATGCTAAAATTGATTCCAAGTGCAACCAGCATTTTAGACAGAAAAGCTGAGCTGCATATCTGCAAAATGACACTGTTCTACACTATACTTTAACTAATTCATTGATATTTCCCCCCCCTTTTTTTTTTCTTTCTTTCTTTTCTAGTTTTGCTCAATGTGTCCCACCTTTTTGTACTACTTTTGTTTTGGTAAGTAAATAATAAGATTAAAAACCCTCTAAAGTTAAAGCACAGCAAAACTAGAAATACAGCCGCTGAGAACAACAGACCGTCAGAGGTTGAGCTGGAAGAGAAAGAAGCTTGATGTGAAATTCATATACTGCAGCAGAGACGACTCACCGTCAGTGGAAGCAGACTGTTGGCTTTGTCCACCGGCCTCCTCAACTGCACAAACAGGAGACACAGTGTCAGAATGAGACAAAGATTTAGCAGCAGTCAAGTTAAAGTATGACATCCAATCAGTGGGGCTGCAACTAAAAATCATTTATTGGTTCTTTTCTCGTTTACTTGTCAGTTCGTGTTACTCATCAGCTAACCAAATTCACCCCAACTTGGCCAAAATTAATAAAATATTGATCAAAATGACTAAAATTGTTTAATGACACCAAGAAGTTGTCCTGAACTGACACCAGAAATGATCAAAAATTACTCATACGATGTTCAAAATCACTCAAAAATGATTTTTTTTTTTAACTTTTTGAAATGACATAAACTGAGTCAATGAATAAAACAACTAAAAATTATTTTAAAATTGTCCAAAAGACTTAAACAATCATCTGAATGTTGCCGAAAATGACAAAAAAAGCTTAAAATGAAAAAGACATTGTTCAAACTGGCAAAAAAATTGTCCACAATAACTCAGAAAAGTTTATTTTTCCTGAGATTCTCTCGTGATTTTGTGCTTTGATGCTTCTCATGCTGGAATATTCCCCTTCTTCAAGCTTCTGCAGACTGGAAGTCATTTTGTCAGTCAGTATTTTGGTTTCTCCGCAGACATTCATGGTGCATCGATAAATCATCTCCCAACTCCGTTTGCACTCATGCAGCCCCATATCATCACACACCCGTCTCTGTGTTTCACTGCTCTGCTTTAAACACTGTAGTTGTACTGTAAATACCTCCATTACTTTGATATTCTACATTTGATACTTTATATTTACATACATATTTATTTTTCCTTTCAAGTTATTTTATCTTATTTTATTTTATTTTTACTTGTGTATTGCTGCCAAAAAGGGTTGCTACGACATTGCACTGCTGTGACACTGTCTTTTCAGCATTGCCTCCACAGTGACAATACAAACAATACAATACAAACACTGTCAAGACTATGCATTCACTGTGGTAGTCCTGGTCAGGTTCACACCAAACATGCTGGACTCCATCTGAGCCCAACACATTTATGTGACAAAAGAATGTGCTCCCAACATTGATCATTTTTAGCATAGTTTTTTTTCTTGTCCATCGAGGTTGATGCTATGACGAGTCCTTCACACTGTCTGAGCTTTTCAGAAACTCTAATTTCTATTAATAACCCCTGATGCAAGTCTGAACCAGCTATTGTCTGTTTTTCGCAGCTAGATTATAATAGTTCACTGTCTGTGGAGTGATTTTAGGAGAACAACCACTGCAGCTTTGATTAGTGGTTCTATGTCTCTTTCTAGACCTCCTGATTACTGCTGCAATTGTGAGTCACTGGTTTTTAGTTCCTCACTGATCTTCCTGTATCCTCTTCCATTTTTGTGAAGCCTAACAGTCAGATTCTTTAGTTCCTCTGTTCAATCCTTTCCACATAGTTCCATGATGCAGACATGCAGATAAACACAGCTCATGGGTCCAAAACTGAGAAAGTTCTACTGGTCACAGCTCGGTGAAGAACCATGTTCATGCAGTTAAACTGACTGGAAATCAAGAGTGGACTCAGTTTAAGGGATCACAGGTAGATTCACTTTTGTTGCATTAAGTTTCTACTTTGGTGCTTATATTTCAAATACAGTCTTTCTACAGTGTTTGATTTTGGTTTTATTCAAAACATGCACTTTACTGGTACACTTAGAAATGACACATTTATTGAGGTCAAACAACTTGGACGCATTTGATTTTGTGTACGGTTGAACGCACTTCTGTTGTTTACTGTAAATACAAATATTGCAGTGGTGAAGCTCCTTTGATGGACTGGCTTTGTACAATTTTTGCTGCTTTGCTGCAGAACTGATACGAACTAGGGCCCGACTAATATGGATTTTTTGAGTCAATTCCGATATTTGGCAAAAAAAATTCTGATAATATATATATAATATATATATACCTTATATATAAATATATAATTAATAAAATAGCTTATTTTTTGGTCCCTTAAAGCTTACAACAACAAAGATATGAATTACAGACAGAATATTTTACTGTTTTACAACACTTTGTCCTTTAGTATTTGTTTAACTTTACAACAGAGAGGAGTTTCAAGTACAAAAACATTCAACACAGCGTTAAACATAACATGCATCAGTAAAAAAAAAAAGTTTTCTGAACAAATATGTCTGTAATTCCTCATTTTAGGAACCAAAGAACTAATTTATGAATCCAGAAAATAATTAACAGATTAATCAACTATGAAAATAACAGTGAGTCAGAACCCTGCACTAGATTATACACATTGTTATGCAATGTTGTTTCTGCTGTATGTTTGGCCGCCTAACATCCTTACTGAAGATACAATAAACAGATTCATGTAGAAACTACAGAAATAATCTCTTTTGCAATTCTTCTACAGGTTATAATCTATAAAAATATGACCCAGGTGAATAAAAGTCAAGTCATTTTGATGCATTAGTAACATTTCAGCCACAGTGAAGGGGCTGCATTCACTTATTGGAAGGTGGAAAGACCGCATTATATGACTTGGACTGGGCCTTAAAGCATTTCTAATTTGCTTAATGTGGAACAGAACAGCAGAGACAGTGAAGAACTGCATTTAGGATTTTTAATTTAGTTTTTTATTTTTTGCAGACAATCACTTTTGTCCACAACCTGATTTTTTTAAGGTGCTATTTTATAAGTTTTTCCTGTTTGTTTTTCTGTGGTTGTTGTCGTTTTGGCAGATGATCACTTTTTTTATTTTATCAAATTTTTTTGCAAGATTTAGTTTACTGCATTTAAATATATATATATAATAATTTCAAACAGGTACTTGCTGTTAAATCAAAGAAAAATATGAATAAAAGGGATTGAAAGATGGACAATCATCTTTTCCCTATCTTAAAGGTTTTTCCTGTTTTGTTTTGTTTTGTTTTTTTCAGGCGATCACTTTTGTGCACAACTTGTATGATTTCTGCAGAAAACCATCGCTGGGATATTTACCAAACCTGGCCGCCTCCTCGAAGCAGTCGATGCTCTTTAGGATCTCCTCGGCCACTCCCACCACATGTTTCTCGGTGAAGGTAGAGACCATCACGTCTGCTACGTCCATGCGATCTTTACCGTGCACCCTGTTGCGCCGAACCCGGGGCTCCTGCCGACGGTCCACCAGCTGATGGCAGAACTTCTTGAAGTCCTCGTCGGTCAGGTCCGACAGAGCGTCCACCAGCGCCGCTTTCACAGTTTTCCCGGGCATCTCTCAGATGGACACACGGCTGCTGCTTCCGTAAAAATGCTGTTTCCCGTAAACGCGTGTTATGAGGAGGAGACTCGTGTTGCCTTCAAATGCAGTCGAAAAATATGACTGCACTCTTAAGAATCATTGACGAGACCCTTTCCGAATCCTTCCACTTCATTACATGCATAATTACGTTTTTAACATTATTTTGATGGTTGATATAAAAATGTTGCCTCAACTTGTCTCATTTAAACCCATGTTTCTGCGTTTGTTGATTGAAAACTATCATTCATGTAAATGATCTGTCAAGGATTGTGACCAAATTTGTCACTTATGCAGCTGTTTGCTTAGTTTTTCTTGACAGAGTGCAAGTTTCACGCAGTTGAATTTGATGATTGTTGATAGATTAGTCAGCTGTTGCTAGCTCCAAAGATAAAGTGATCTGTAGCTGATTGTTCTTAAAAACAAATGAGGAAAGACAAGAGAAGGCTGGTGGAGAAGGAGAGATCTGACTCAGATACACTGATGATAAAGAGAGAGGCAGGGAGACACAGATTAGAAGAAGGCCCTGCTCCACGTTTAATAAAAGTCAGAGCTTGGTTAGTTTGAGTAATGAGTTGGTGCCTCACAGGACCTCTTTTTGTAAAACTAGAGTCAGGAGGAGTCAAATGCTGAAAAGATTGTGATGGCGGGAGCCTCGACACTGATGTTCACTGAGGGTTCAAACATCCTTACATATGATCAGTAATGAAGGCAGCTGTTCTTTATAAGCAGGAGTGTTTCTGAGGCTGCAGCCACACACTTTGATGAGCTGTTGCTTCATATATAAAACCACAGTAAAATGTGGTTTACAGCCAAACATCTTGCCAAGGACAAGGCCTACAAGTGCAGACAACAACGCCTGAAACACACCCTGTAAAAAAAAAAAAAAAAAGCTACACTGGTAGGTGGTAAAACCTGTTTTCAGTCTGCAACATTCAGTTAAAGTGGGACGGGCTACGACAGAAAAAAACACTCCTCCTCCCGTATTGTGCAACCACCTGCACTTTCTCACACCGGAAGCTTTTCTGTGCAGTGCAGAGGCAATAAGTCTGACGCTGCAAAATCACACAGCAGTTTCTATAGAAGGAGAAAGTGGAAACTATGTTGTGGACACTTATGAAACTTTGCTGAAGAGCATAAACAAGAAGCTTGAAGAATGTTGGTCACATAAGACCAAAGCATCTGCTCAGTTTAGTGTGACCCTGACCGGGACAGCCACAGTGGATGCATACAGCCTCTGCTTATGTGGGGCGTTCAGGGACCATCAGTAAATCGTAGGTCTAGTGATAAGACAATGTTCAGCAAGTCATATGTTCTGTGTGTGACCAGGTGGGAGGTGTAACAGAATGATTGAGTGGGTCGTACTGGTGCTACCAGTGAAAAAGTTAGTCTGGAGTCCTGGATAGTGTTGTTTCATTATTGATGTTGTGTGTTTTGAGTTTGTACAGATCCTGTAAATATTGATGAAAGTTTGATGAATGGTTTTGAAATGTAGTTCTGGTAAGCCTTGATAATATTAAATTAGATTATGATTAGAATATCCCCCAACGGTAGACAATTTGCATCCCTGTAAATAGTTGTGCCTGATGTTATTATATTCTAATTTCTGATTTAAAATAAAAGATCATTTGCAGACTGCCCCCCCACCAACATTTTTCACCAGCTGCCCCGGTCCTGACAGTGAAGCACGGAGGTGGGAGTTTTATGATATGGGTGAGTGCAAAAGGTGTTGGTGAGATGACGTTTATAGATGAACATCATGAATGTCTGAAATGCTCCCAGGATGACTCCCAGTCTTCAGATGCTTGAAGAAGAGGAGTATTTAAATTGTGTTGTATCCTGTTTCACCCTGCTAGATGGTGGCAGTGTGTGGTCATACTGTAACTGTGATTCTTCCGACTACGGTCTTTAAATCCTGACAAACTAGCGGCTGGAAGTGAGGTTCAGCAGTTCAACAGGCCCAGTGGAGGCTAAAGCCTTCATGGTATTAATGGGTCAAGAGATTTTCCTTTTTCAGACTTGTTTTGAACAAAACTCATGTATTAAACAGTTTCAAGACTATATCTCAGGACATATATTGTCGGGTCTGCTTCCTTTATACTTCCTCATGCAACGCTGTCTGTTATTATCATTGCTTCACACAAGGTCGCATTTATTGCAGGCCTTGAATGCAAAATGTGATCTCTGGCACCTTTGACCCCTGGGATCACTCGGCGGGAGGGGAAGTCGTCAATGCATAAACAGACCCTAATTGAATGTATTGCGAATGTGAGAAACTGGATGTCAGAGAACTTCCTTCAGCTGTACGACACTAAAACCGAAGTCATGGTAAGATTTAAGTAAGTAAGTAAGTAAGTATAACTTACCATCTGCTGGTAAGTCCCAGCAGATGGCTAAATAAATTATTTAAAAGTTACAATTATTTAACTTTTAAAGATACAGACACGATTTTACAGGCTTTTATTTTCCCACGGCTGGATGACTGCAATAGCCGTTCTACATGTCTTAACCAGAAATCCCTGGACAGACAGCAGACAGTGCAGAACTCTGCTGCCAGGTTTTTAACCAGGAAGAGGAAACATGAGCACATCACACCTGTTTTAGCTCTTTTACATTGGCTACCAGTACGTTTTAGGATTGATTTTATTAATCACTTTTAAAGCACTCAATGGGCTTTGTCCTATTTACACTGCCAACCTTCTGACACGGTACTCTCCAACACACTATTTACAATCCTTGGGCAAAGGTCTTTTAACTGTCCCAGAGGCCCGGCTGAAAACAAAGGGGGCAGAGCATTCTCAGTCTGGGCACCGAGGCTCTGGAATGACCTGCCCGAGGAAATCAGGTCGGCTAATTCTGTGCTCTCTTTTAAGTCACTTCTTAAAACACATTTTTATCAGAGAGCTTTTCCTGATTTTATTTAATTTTTATGTTTCACAGCTTCTTGCTCTATTTGTGTGCTTTCCATTTTTGTCTTATACTGTGTGCTTGTTTTATTTCAATTTTTTAATTTGTTTTTATTGGAAAGCATTTTGTAACTTTTGTTTTGAAAATTGCTCTATAAATAAAGTTTATTGTTATTATTATTACTAAATACAATAAAAACACACATTTTATAATAAAAAGTAAGGAATTATTATTTGTAAAAATAAAAATTTTTCAATATGGACATTATTTAGTTTTGGCCTGTGCTTTTTTTTTCCAACCCTTATATTATTATTATTATGTATAATATCAAATATTTGTAAAATACTGATATATTTTGATGATTAAAATACACTTTAAAAAATAGCAAAATTTCACAATCCAAAGTTGTAAATGAACAAATTACAGTTGATGAACATACTGATGAGAAACTTGTTTTTTAATTAACTGTAATTTGAAATTTGTCATTTATAAATTTGTAATTTGATGTGGAGATTATTTATATTTTTGACCTTTTTACAGTTAATGTGAATGCAATTATTTCATTTTAATGTGAATTTACTAGTCATGGGTACTTTTACAAAATGGGAAATCTGTGAAATAATAGTAATATATTATCAGAATTAATATAAGAGAATTAGAATTATTACAAGGGAAATTCACTATGCACTGTATAAATGCTATAAATTATCATTATTATTATTATTACTACTACTACTGCTAATACTGTTAATAATAAACTTTATTTTGTTGTTTCGCACAAACCAAGATTTTGAGTATAACACAACCCATTTGGATGTATGTGTATATACAGTTTATTTACACGACACAATCATCACACATCACCAAAAGCTTCACAGTGAGTGCCTGAAAGGCATCGGGTTGCCAGAAAACAGAGGTAGACATGAGTTTTGCATGTAAAAAAATAATAATATAAATGCACAAAACTCTGCACAGGGTTCATATAAACAGGATTTACAAACTTATTCTTTCTTAGAAAACACACTGCATAAAATATTTATCCATAGTGCTTTAAAATGCCAGCAGCTGCTTGTGTAGCCCTGAGGTTTAGGAGCTGTTTGTTCAGTAGGACCTTCATTTAGCATCACCTGTCACTGCAGAGCTAACAGGGACTGACTGCACCCTACTGGGACGCCCACGGTTCACTGCTGTGCTCGGACGCCGCCGGCCGCTGCCACACCTCCACGTTCGAGGGCAGAACGTTCAGACTGCTCAGGACCTCCTGCGCTGTCTTTCCCAGCATGCCCTGCACATCGCAGACGAAGCGGTACACATAGCGTTTTCCCGCCGTCTTGTGGATGATGTTCTTGTGGTAGTAGTAACGCAGGCCGCGACTCAGCTTCTCGTAGTTCATCTTGGGTTTGTTCTTGCACTGACCCCAGCGTTTGGCCACCTGTGGAATCAACAGAAAGCCCCGAGAGTTGAGCTTCATTGTGTTTATCCATAGAAAGACTGGAAATCCAGTAGAAACAACAAACAAACAAAACACCTCAGAAGATCTGGCAGCAAGGTGCCAAGAAAAAATATGATAAAATGGTAGAATACTGCAACATTCGAAAACTGTAAAAATAAATAAATAAATAAATAAATAAATCAGCAAAAGTCTATAAATAATATTTTTAGCTGATTCAAATGCTGTACACATTGTAAAAAGAGCAGTTATTATTCCTTTTTCTGTTCAGATTTTTTGTTGATATTATCTGTAATTTACCAAAACAGAGAAAATGGAAATATACAGCGTTTCTGTAAATGAGCCAGTTGAGCCAATATGAAAACGTTTTTGTGCAGCACATGATGCAGATGCAAGATGCTGGAAAGACATATTGTGTTCAGCAGAACAGCTCAGCCTGCAGTACATGCAGAAGAGCACATAGGAGCCATTTACCAGTTTGTGAACTGTAGTGTTGCAGAGGTTAAAACAAAGACCCTTCATTGTCCCTTTTCAATATCACTTTAACATACCGTATATATCAGTAATGTCAGATTTCCTATATTCTATATCAATAAAAAAAACAAAAACAAAAAAACAATTACAGTCAGGTCCATAAATATTTGGACAATGACACAATGTTCAGCATTTCGGCTCTGTACGCCACCACAATGGGTTTGGAATAAAACAATCGAGATGGGCTTTAAGTGAAGACTTTAAGTTTTAATTTGAGGATGTTTATATCCGAATCAGGTGAATGTGTAGGAATTACTACAAATTTTATATGCGCCTTCCACCAATCAACAATTTCCCTGAGGTTCATACCAAAGGAATCAATAAAGTTCTATCTATCTATCTATCTATCTATCTATCTATCTATCTATCTACCTTTTCAAGGAACCAGAAGTCATTGGACAAACTAACATAATCATAAATCAAAATGTCACTTTTAACATTTGGTTGCAAATCCTTTGCAGTCAATGACAGGCAGAAGTCTCGAACCCATAGACGTCACCAGACGCTGGGTTTCGTCCCCGGTGATACTCTGCCAGGCCTCTACTGCTGCTGTCTTCAGTTCCTGCTTGTTCTTGGGGCATGTTCCCTTCAGCTTTGTCTTCAGCAAGTGAAATGTCATTACAGAACATTCCACTTCTTTGCCTTAAAAAATCCCTGGTTGCTTTCGCAGTGTGCTTTGGGTCGTTGTCCATCTGCATAGTGAAGCGCTGTCCAATGAGTTCTGAAGTATTTGGCTGAATATGAGCAGATAATATGGTCCGAAACACATCAGAACTCATCCTGCTGCTTTTATCACCTGTCACATCATCAGTAAGTATGAGAGAACCAGTTCCATTGGCAGCCATACATGCCAACACCATTACACTGCCACCACTTCACTAATGAGGTGTTATGTTTGGATCTTGAGCAGTTCCGTACCTTCTCTATTCTCTTCTCTTCCCATCATTTTGGTACAAGTTGATCTTTGTCTCACTTTTCCACAGGAGGTTCCAGAACTGCACAGGGCCTTGAGATGATTTTTTATTTTTTTTGGCAAACTCTAACCTGGCCGTTCTGTTTTTGAGGCTCACACCTTGTGGAGAACCCTCTGTATTAACTCTGGTGACGCCTACCTCCTGGAGAGTGTTTGTGATCTGGCCAACTGTTGTGAGAGGGTTTTCCTGATCAGGGAAAGGATTCTTCTGACATCCACCACACTTGTTTTCCATGGTCTTCTGGGTCTTTTGGCATTGCTGAGCTCATCAGTGCGTCCTTTCTTTTTAAGAATGTACCGAATAGTTGATTTGGCCATGCCTAATGTTTTTACTATCTGTCCGCTGGGTTTTGTTTTGACTTTTCTGCCTCATGATGGCTTGTTTAACTGATAGTGACTGCTCTTTGGACTTCATAATGAGAGTTGACCTCACCAGGTTCCAAACACAAATATCAAACTTGAAATGAACTTGAGACCTTTTATCAGCTCCTTGTAAATGAAAAAATGAGGGAATAACACACCTGGCCATAAAACAGCAGAGCAGCCAATTTTCCATTTACGTTTGGTTTCTTAAAAAGGTGGTGGGCACATATAAAATATGTTTGAATTCCTACACATTCACCTGATTTGGATGCAAATACCCTCAAATTAAAGCTGAAAGTCTGTGCTTAAAGCACATCTTGATTGCTTCATTTCAAATCCATTGTGGTGGTGTACAGAGCTGAAATGCTGAAAATTGTGTCAATGTCCAAACATTTATGGACCTGACTGTATCAGTTGCTCTCTAACTTTCACCTTAATTTAAAAAAGAATTATAGTATAGTGAAACACGTGGAAAGTTACCATGGAAATACTGACATAAAGCACCTGAGAGATGTACTTTCCACTACTGATGTACAGCAGGACTGTCCCTCACCTCCGTGGGGTCGGACATCTTGAACTCCCAGCCGTCTCCCGTCCATGAGATGAAAGTCCGGCAGGCTGAGTCCAAAAGAAGCTCCAGCAAAAACTGCCACAACTGGATCGGACCAGAACCTGAACCACGAACAAATGCTCTGATTAACTTGGTGACAGACGGCTGCTGGACTCACAAGAGGTGAAGATAAAGATAAACCTAGCTGATCCCTCAACAAGGAAGTTCACATGTAACAGCAGCTCAAAAGAGACAAGCAGAAGATCAGATCAAGTTCAGATTGAACTAAATAAGATAAACAGATATGATATAACTGACACTTGCACACAGCACAAAAACAATAACACATCCATAAAAAAATGGCACGTTAAAAAAAAAAAAACAGCGGAATTCTGGAACACTGAGAAACTTTTAAAGAACAGAAATTATATGTAAAATAATATTTTTTGCTGATATAAACACAGTAAATGAAAGTGTGTCATTTAAAGTCATAAAAGTACAAAATAACATTTGTGAAATGTTAAAATGTAAAGATTTTGAGTTTGGGCCTGTTTTGTTTGTTTGTTTGTTTGTTTGTTTACAGTCAACATGTGAATTAGCATTTTATCTCTTACTAGTCAACTACTTGTAATTTTAACATAGCAGGGTGAATCAGTAAAACAACAGTTAAAATTTTTGCCATTTTTCATTCCTTAATATACATACCTTTTCTTTCAAATAATGGCAAATATTTGTATAATGATGATTTCTTTGCAGATTAAAATACAATAAAAATCACAAATTTTACAATCAAATATTACAAAATATATATATATTTGTAAAAATATTGATTATTAATGTGGAAATTATTTACAGCTTGGGCCTGAAATTTCCCCACTCCCTAATATAAATAGAATTTCTTTCAAATAATGGCAAATATCTGTAAAATAATCCATCCATCCATCTATTATCTACACACCGCTTAATCCTCACTAGGGTCGGGGGGGCTGGAGCCTATCTGTAAAACAATGATAAATTATAATACAATCGAAAAATTGCCAAATTTTACAATCAAACGTTGTAAAAGAACAAGTTACAATTAATTTTTTTAAAAATGCAGATTTCTTAATGCAGAGATTATTTACAATTTTGCCATTTTTGTGGTCAACCTGTAAATTATGACCTTTAAATATGAATTTACTAGTTATTATCTGTATCTTTTTTTGTTAAATTCTAAAAAAAAAAAAAAAAAAAAAACAACTGTAAAATAACAGTGAATTATTCAAAATTTTACAGTTAAATTTTTTTTTTTTTTTTTTTTTTTTTTTTTTTTTTTTTTACAGTGTGGCGATCTGTTTGTATTAATCTGTAACAATCAGTGGCAGTGGAAGTATTCAGAACTTCCCCATTATATTATATATTAGATGATATTGTTATATTATGAAACATTATGGATCTTGCAGGCAGACAGGAGAGATGAGGCGGCAAAAAGTCTAACCGGGATAAGCTGACATTCCCGTCATGTGGCCCTCCCTGTCGGGCCTCTGGGGCGCCGTGCTTTTTCGTTTGGCCACACGAGGGCAGTACTGCTCTGAGGGCTGAGGGTTGGAGGGGCAGGAGGTCAAGGGCGGATGAGGTGGGGGGGCGGTGAAGCTGGGAGACGGGTATTCGGACCAGAAGGACTGCCTGGGTCCGTCTGAGTTGTAGTAGTTCTGATCCGTCTCACCTGCAACAAACAGAAGGAATTAAACCCTGACCTGTTAAAATCTGGTTTTATTTGAGTGTGCAGGCGGCAAGTCTCACTCTGTAATGTGCTGGAAGTTTTCCCGGGCAGGAAGCTGCTGCTGCTACCCTCCACGGCCGGACTGAACTGGCTGGGCTGGGGCACCAGGTTCTGGTAGGTCTGTGGAGAGTCCTGGTATCCAGTCTGGTCCACTGTCAGTCCGTCTGTGCATCAGAAGCAAAGTCAGGAAGGAAAAGAAACCCCTTTAACCTCCAAGTGAAGGTGCAAGAGCAGTTTATCTGTATTTACACAGTCGTCCTCAAATGTATTCATACTGTCACTGAAATAAGTTGAAACTGACAAAAGTAATAACAAATACAAATGAAACTAAAATCATGACATAGCTTTTGAATTGTGGTTCAACAGAAATATTTTTTTAAACAAACAAAAAAACACAAGCAAACAAACACAATATTTTTTGTGATTTTTACTGGTAACTTTCTGTAATTTACAAAAATAGGGAAACAGTACATTTTGGTCCAAACTCCCCCCCCCCCCAAAAAAAAACAGTTAAAAACTGCTAAAATGTTTCTTTTTTCTTGTATGTTTTGATGTCAAAATGCTTCTAGCCGTATAATACATATTTCACTCAAGTGCACCTTAAATTTTCAAATGTATTTTTTTTCCAGTGTTATTGAAACAAACAAAATTTGTTTTGTAAGAAGCAAAACACAATGATTGTCTAAATAAATGTAACTTTGTTTTTACAATATGTTTTCTTTTGTTTTTAATTTGGGATTTCACAATGTGTAATTGTAAAATAATACTCTTTTACTGTGTCTAAATAGCTAGAATATCTTTATTCTAAAGACATTTGCTGTCATTTTCACCACTTTTACAGTTTTTGAACATTATAGTATTCCACCATTTCTATTTTATTTTATTTTTTTACAATAATATCCTGTTTGCTAAGGTTTGAAGCTGTTTAACGTACACTGTAGCTGAGTCGGAGACGCACCTTGTGGATATGACGCCCACCAGTTGAACTCCTGGTACGAGTCCAGGTTGACGAGAGCAGCGTCACCTGAGTTCACTGAGGACGAAAGAGCAAAAATAAACAAACTGTGAGATAAGTCAGAAACACAAACCACACACGAGTCTGACCAGCAGCAGAAATATATTTTACCTTTGGTGTCGTATGAGTGTGAAGCTTTAGGTGGCTCCGGGTAGCTGCTTTCTGCCACAAACTGCTGCTGTCCAGGCGCTTTACTGTCTAACAGAAAAGACAGGTCTTCACCAGGATAGTCTGGAGGTTAAACATAATGCAGACAGATGGAGTCAGTGTGAAGGTGAAGGCAGGACAGAGGACACAGCTCAGAATCACTCCAGACCAATGGATTCATCTCCCTCAGTGAACCTTCATGGGTAACATTTTCCAAAGCTGTTTAGGAATTTCACACTGACTGGGCAGCTGTGGTTTCCCCCCATTGCAACGCAGGATGGAAATACACTTGGAAAGACTTGAAACACATTGAATTTTTTATTATTTTTTGGTCAAAGACGTGCCTTCTTCCAGCTGCATTGACGGCCTGTTTTTAAAACTCTGATGCATTCAGGAGCTGTTGGGAAGTCAGACTCTGTACAGTAGGGCTGCAACTAATGATTATTTTCATTTTATGACTATAGAAATATATTTTTCTTTCATTGTTGCTAAAATTGATTATCAAAATTATTGGCAATTTAACTACTTGATTAATCATTGATGCTCTACTGTAGACACAATGAATTTACATTGTCTTGCTGCAGGTCGGCCATGGTATTTTAAATTTAAAACCAAACTTGTGAGTGTAAATGTTCAAGCATTATTGAGAGCATCACAAAGGAGCATGTTTCCAATCATCTCCTGCTGCAGTACAACAGTAAGCTAACTGGAATCAGCAGCAGAGAAACTGATGCACTAAGGCCCAGTAACACGGTGCAGTGGCTCCCCCCTGTGGAAGGAGAGGAGACTGACCTTCTGCAGGAATTTACAGATTTAACTTTAATTTGCACTGTGAGAATTATATCTTATCGAGTTCAGAATCTTATGATGATTATTTTTATTCTAGGTTAGAGTTATTACAAAAGTAAATTTCTGCTTTTACATGAATGCACAAATGCATTTTTATCGTGTTTTGTTGTTTCACTTCAGAGGTGTCAAATTAAAGTTAGATATGACAGACATTTACTTCTGCCAGTCTTTTTAAATATACATATATCAGATTTTCCCTAATTAGTTAAATTACAGATTATATTTAGCAGAATCTTTTAAATGAAAATGGTAATTTACCTTTTGACTGTATTTATTTTTTTCTGGCAGCTACTTTTTTCTCCTTTTTTTGTGCGCCACAGTTAGAATTTGGCTGTTTTTACAGTAAGTTTCCCAGTGTATTTGTCAATGTCAGTAGCTATCTACATAATCTGAAAGCTCATGTGACATCTCTGCAAGTTGAGTTTCTCAGCATGAAAACGTGAAAAAAATAACATTTTAACTGACTTAAAAACATAACTTTTCTATAGTGCCCATCATTAAAAAAATGCCATAAAAACATTTTTAAATTAAAAAAAAAAACAAATAAATCACTGCACAGTGAAATACTGTAACATACAAAAATTGGAGAATTCAATTAAATTCAATTCAGTTTTATTTGTATAGCGCATATTTACAACAACAAGTCATCTCATAGAGCTTGAGAAGAAAAAAGAATGTATGTAAAATATTGTTGTTTTTAACAGGTTTAAATACAGTAAAACTGTAAATCTGTGGTCAAACATTACTATTTGTAAATAGTAATTTAAAAATAATATTTTAATGTAACCATGAACAGTTTTTTTTTTTTTTTTTTTGTTTTTTTACGGTTCACATGTAAATTATTACCTTGGTGCTGTGATTTTAGATTTAGAAATTACTTGTAATTTAAAACATCTAGTTGCAAAGGTGCATAAAACAATATAATAATAATAATAATAATAATAATAATAATAATACATTTTGAAAACTAACAAAAACAAAAACAAAAAAGGAACAAACAAACAAAAAACCTGGAAAATATCTGTAAATAGTGATATTTTTTAGCTGATTTGAATATAGCTAAAACTGTATAATTTTATGGTCAAACATTGTCAGAAGACAAATAAGTATTTGTAAAAATACTTATTTCAGACATAAACATTATTTACAGATTTGGGACTGTTTTGTGTTTTTTTTCAAGTTAATGTGTAGATTTTTTATTTTTTCCTGTGATTTAACTTAATTTAACAAAACAGGGAAGATATATATATATATACACGCACACATCGATAACATTACAGATTCACACTTTCAGATAATGGTACCTATTTGTTAAATAGTCATGTTTTTGCTAAATGAAGTTAAACAATATTTTAAAAAAAATGATTTCATTTAAGCATTGTAAAAGACCAAATCACTACGTGTAAAGGTACATTTTTGATGTGGACATTATTTACAGTTTTGTTTTTTAGGGGGGTTAACGTAAATAAGTTTTTGGGGTTTTTTAAAAATGTTTTTCTGGAATTTTTACTGCAATCTTTATTTCTTTTCTTCTTCTTCTTTTTTTTAAAGCAATTTTACTGTTAAAAACAGCTTTAAAAAAGTCAAATCAAAGCTCAGCTCTGCACTCAAAATCATAAAGAGAGGAAAACTCTGGTTGTTATGTGAGCTGGGACACCCCTGGTCTATTCAGTTCTGACGATGGAGGAAACATGGGAGGGAGGGATAGGAAGAGTGAGGAGGAAATGCCGGTGATGGAGGGATGGGGAGGGGGACTCTAAATCTGCTGGAGGAGGAAGTCTGGAGGAAAGGATTAGGGAAGACAGAGAGGGGAGAGCAGCCCTGAGGCCACCCTGAATCCTCCGGCGTTATCCTGAATCAGCCCCTCTGGTGTCAAGGCCTCGCTGAGAGGAGCTCTGACAGATGTGATGACACTGTGGGCGAAAATGTTTCCTCTGTCCTTCGTCCCTCTTCGGGTTCAGAGGAAATAGATCTGTCCCCCCCCCCAGTCTGGGAGCTTAAACCAGAAACTCACCATAAGATGCAAAGTCAAATCCGGCTGGAACCTCCTGCGTCCTGAAGTCTTCTGTGTAGTATCCAGTCTGACAAATCTCCATCTGTGGTCAAACACAAAGAGATCACTGTAAAAACACAAACAAATTCAAACAGTGGTTTCCCTGAAGTAACACTTTCATACTGTTTTTACACTTTTCCAAGGACCAGTTGAAGCCGCTATTGATCACAGTGGCAACACTAAATAAATGCAGGATGTCATCAACAGTAAAGGTCTTTTTCTCCTGTAGATCGATGGTACAGGTGGAGCAGCTTAAAGTCACTTCTTTAACTGTTAACATGTGAGAAAGTGGAGAAAAGTTTGAAAGCTTGTTCACATAAAGCCACTATTTTAACTTTTAGGCCACAAACTGGGTGTTGGCATCTATGCACAGTTTCGCCACTTTACAATAAATAAAAACTAAATAAAAAATAATAGTCAAAAACAAGAGAAAGTCGGAGCCAACCTTTAACTTTGAGCCTGCGCCGTCCGTGTGTCTGTCTGTAGGTTTGATGAAGGTGTCCCAGTACATGGTTCTCCTTTCACACATTCACGGCTGTTTACCGGCTGCCGTTCAGCTGCAACAGAGTCTCCGGTCGGCCCGTTGCCGTTATAAGGCGCAGCGGAGGGCGGAGCGCGCAGCCGCAGCGGTGCGTCGTGACCTCCTCCTCCTCTGTCCTCCCCCCTCCTCCCCCCTCAGCGACCAAACATCCATTCATAAAAGAGCCTCACACACACACACACACACACACACACACACACACACACACACACACACACACCTGAAGGCTGAGAAACACTCCTGAACCTGTGGGAACATTTAGGAAGGAGATCAAACAATACAGAAACACAGAAATGTGCCATTTGTTTCACACTGCAGGAGTTTGTTATCACGGCTTCTTCTGCAGGAGCTGATCTGGAATTTAAAAAAGAAAAGAAAAGACAGAAAAACAGAAATGTTGATGTGGAAAACAAAAGTTGCACATTAAAACCTCTTTTTGATATTTCTGTCAATACACTATTCCACTCACCAACTGAATGCATGATTGCAATAACACAAAAACAACCCCTCATTTGGAACCTTTTGCTTGTCCTGACCAAAAGAATCCATTTGATTTTACACTGGCTTTAATTACTTTTCAGAGACAGAGATGTGTGCCATTTTCTATCAATTCACAATTTAAAAAAGCCAAGATTTGATTAAAAAATCCCTAGAAAACCTTAGATTTTTCTGTAGCACATTTATTCCCTGCTTTCCCGACCACCTCACCAAATGCATGACTGCAAGATATTAAAAGAAAAAGAAAAAAAATCAACTTTACAGAAAAAAACGTTTCGTTTAAACAAAATTCTTATTGATCTCTTACACCATTTTACTGTAAAATTACACTTTTTTAAAACGTATTTTTTTAAACAGATTTTTCCTGTTTTGTTAAACTATAGTTAACTAGTAAAATCCCTAAAGCAAGTAATAATTTGCATGTCACAGAATACCAGGCAAAAATCAACATCAAAAATCAAAATTTTTGTTTCAGTTTCTTTTTAAACAATATATAAATCTTCACTGTTGTACTGTTACTTCAGAGATTGTTACATTACATAACATATATTGAATATAATATAAAATATATATTTTTTAAAAATAGATAAAAAATACACCAATGAAAAATCTATATGTTTTACAAATAGTTGTTCAGTCTTTTACAATGTGCAAAACACTGTATTTAAATTTTATTATTATTTTTTTTTTAAATGTCATTATTTTAAATGTTTTTACAGTTTTTGAACATTACAGTATTCCAGCTTCTTTAAAGGTATTTTTCTGGCATCCTCGCCACCAGATTTTGACAGTGTGAATATCTTTGGCTTTTGGATCGTGTTCAAAATACTTCTCACCAGGTTGACCTTTTATACAAACTTGATGATTAATCGTGACTAACTGATGATGATAATAATTCGATCTGGAGCCCCTAAAAGCTGCATTTCTCACAATAGAACGCAACGCAACACAATAAGCATGTGCTTCCTGAACTGGACACGGTGGAGCTGCAGGATTTATGATGATGTGGCTCAATAAGTGTCTGAGCCAACAACAAGCAGCGTGTTTTCTCCTGCAGGCCTCCGCATATTTCAGGGCTGATTGTGTGACAGGCGGGACTAAACAAAGTTTGGGTGGGGATGAAGTGCAGCCTTTTGAAATCAGAGCTGCTGCCAGTCGCTTTTTAATGAGGTGGGAGGAAGAAAAAAAAATCTCTGTATCTTTAGAAACCATTCGACTAAACAATGGCCCGTAAAAAACACACAAGTGCTCGCTGAAGAAAGTCCGAAATCACGGCGTGAGTGTCTGCAGCAGATAAGGCCGAGCCCAGGACCCTGTATAAACAAACACACACACACACACACACACACACACACACACACACACACA